AAAAAAAAAAAAAAAAAGATTGAGCTGCCGAGCGGTGCGACGGGGACCGGGACTTTAAGGGGGGAGTTTTGAACTGGGCACGAGGAACCTTGTGAGGAGAGAGCCGGGTCCGGCGAGAGCAGGAGGAAAGCGGTCTGTGTCTGCGGGAGAACAGGACAGGCTCCCGCAGCGGGAAAGGCCGGGGCCTTTCCTCCCTGTGGAACTTGCTATGGGCGGATGGAGAGAAAGGGGCTGGGTCACGGCTGTCAACACGGAGGTTAAAGAAATTCATGGAGAGAGGCAGTGTTGTCCACCAAGTTTAAACTGCACCTCGAGAAACCCAGGAACACAGCGGGTAAGGCACATGGCCTGCACTTTTTGGAAAAAGTAGCACATATACTAAATAGCCTGGGTTCAGCCTCTGGCTCCGCCACCTACAAGCTCTGTGTCCTTGGACAAAATCCTTAATCTCTCTGTGCCTCAGTTCACCTCATCTATACAGTGTGGGTAAAAAAACCATCTCCCTCCTACGACAGGAGCATTAAATGAGCCGATAGGTGCGAAGGCTCCTCGGACAGGGATTGACACACAGGGCTCTGTAAGTGTCTGTTTAACAAAATTCACCAAATAAACACACAGCCTGTTAACCGCCCCGAAGGCAGCCACACAGTCCTGTCAGTGTGAAATGTTTTAGAGATTCCTGCTCTGGAATTGTTTGAGGCATTTTACAAGCTATGCAAAAGGGCCCTTGTTTCCTTATTTTCATTTATTATTGTTAATTTTTTTACCAGCTGTGACGTTAGTGTCCGTCTTATTGACAAGAGTTGGTTTTACCTCGGACACAGCCAATAGTACAGGGAAGGCCTGGGGGTGGAACGGATGCGGGGTGGAGGGGATCAATGGGGGCTGTAATACTTTCAATAATAAAGATACATTAAAAAAAAAAAAGTTGGTTTTAAAATCTGCTTTCAAAAGCGAGAGCTCCCAAAGTATAAAAGGGTGCTGCCGGCGAAGACACCTCCAAGAACCTGAAGCAGGCTCAGAGGGTGGTTTAGAAGGAAGGGCTCCAAAAATTCTTGGCAGCCTTGTTGAAACCAGGGCTCGGCTTCCTGGTGTGGCCCCTTTGAAGATAAGAGCTCTTCTTTGATGTATAAACTCAGGTATATTTGTTGGAGAAAATCAACACGTTGCTCTCCAACTTTGTGTCATGTCCGTCTTTGTGTGTAAGAAGAAAATATGACTTCACCAGTGTTGTTTTTTAAATTCCGTAAGCTGCTTTTTTGGAAAAACAATGGGTAGGCCGCTTCTTTTCCTTGGATAAAATCTCTGAAAACTCATGAGTCAGTTCTCCACTGTATCTCCAGGCTGTGATTGAGCAAGTACCAGCAATATTTTAAATTTGGCGTGCCAGACATTTTGGTAAGTTTCTATGGGCACCGTTTCACTCAATGGTTGTAATAACAAGATCTACTGTAATATTTCACCGCATAGTCATGGTTACAAAGAGCCATTGTAATAGTTTTTCTTTCACAGGAGAGGAAAAGCAAGTTTAGGGGGTTAACTAACTAATCCAAGCTCTCACACTAATAAGTGGCAGCACCAGGATTTTTTTCTTTTTTGCCTAAATAGGAATTTTATTCTAAGTTAGGAGTTTAGACTTGGTATTTGTTTCTCCTTTAGAAATTAAGTGTAAGTGGTGGGTACTACATCAATACACAAAACCCTGTTTAATAAACTAAAGTACAATAACTGTTTTTACCTGTTTACATTGGATTTTTATTGATTAAATTTTTTTTCACGAGGACAAAAGCTCCCAAATTCCTTTTTTTTGGAGGCAAGGTAATGAAACCAAAACCCACCCAAAATTGGGACCTCCCCCAAAGTAAACAATGGGCCAATATCTCTCAAGAATATTTAGGAAAAAAGAAAGCTAAATAAAATATTAGAAACAGAATGCAGAGTAATCAGAAGAAATATGGACTTTGTCCAAGTGTAGAGTTTTTTCAGTATCTCGAGGATGGTTCAGTATTAGGAACCATACAGGTATGATTAACACACTTCATCCCTTCAGCAAATCTAAAGGGAAAACTCATATTTTCATTTCCACAGATTCCCAAAAGGCATTTGAAAAAAATTCACCATCTGTTTTTTTTGTTTTTGTTTTAATTTTAATATAACAGAAATGAAAGGAGAATTCCCTAACTTGATAAACTAGATTAATCTCAGCTCAAAAGTAAACAGTATGCCTAGTGTGGAAAGGGTATCTACTAACTCCACCGTTATTAGCATTTTAAATATTAAATTGAATTAAATTCCAGTAGTAGCCAATAAAGTTAGATGAAAAAAGAGAAAGGAGATTAGAGAAATAATTAGTGGAGTCCCATGTTAATATATAGAAGCCAATTCATTTGACATATTAAAAAACTTCACAATTAGAGGGTATAAGGGAAGAAAGAACACTACTTATAATGGAAACGAAGAAACTAAAATACCTTGGAATGAACTTAACACGTCAACAGGAAACTGTAAAACATCCCTAAGTGACACAATAAGCGAGAACTAGTCAAATGCGAACGTCAAGGACTCGGAAGCCATCGTAGACGTCGGTAATGTCGGTTGCCCTTAAGTTGTTATTTTCCACGAACTGTTTACTCTCCATAAACGTTACGTGGCCCCAGAAACGTCACGAGGGTTATGCTGTGGGGCTGTCCTGTGGCCGGATGTTTAACAGCATCCCTGGCCTCTACGCATTGGGTGCTACCCCGAGAAGTGACGACCAGTAACGTCTCTAGTTGTCCCTTGGTGTCCACCACGAGCTCACCCTGGCCGAGCTCCCCGATACTCGCTAATCTCCGAAATCGGCTGACCAGCGAAATCCGTTACGCGGTGGTGTGAGAGAGACAGATGTCTTCACTGGCCATGGAAACGGGTTTTAACTAATGAACATGTTGATTTACCAGCAGAAAGCCGGTTTGTCGGAGGGTCATTAGCCTCAAGCAGAATGACACCCACTGGGTGTCATATATTGCAGATAGGATGTGGGAAATTCTGGAGCCACTGGGAGAAAATACAGTGTAAGAAATCCATACCCAGTGGCGTTGGACCCTTCAATCTGATGCTGTTACCACCTTAAGGGATAAGTTAGATATCTACAGAGAGTCGTTCTAGCCTGAAAAATGTCCTAAGAAGAAAATAGGATACTGGGGATCATTCCTTCAATAAGGAATTGGCAAAAAATGAAATTAAAAACATCGATCCGTGAGTGGAGAGTGGCAGGATGTCGTTCCGCATACCCACCGGCTGCCCACCGCCCTGCGTCCCGAGACCATTAGCCTCTCTCCGACCTGGGGGACCTGCTGTTCTCACGAAGGCCTTTCGTGTCCGCGCCACTCCGCTCTCCGCCTCTCGGGTCCGGGTGGCGCCTGCTGCCCACTCTTGGGTTTGACGATACCGGGCTTTTCCTTCCTGCCCACCCCCATCCCAGCCGTGGGGCCGCCCAACAGCTGCCTCCTGCGTGGGCTCCCGAGGGGAACTTTCACAAGAAGAGATTGATGACGGCCCCTTGAACCAACCCCCAAACCTAAGCGCTATCTACAGTCAGTTCCCGCGCCTTCCCTGCTTTGCTTTTGAACTTGGATGTTTTCAACGACAATGGACAACGTGCCTCACTCCACCCAACGTTACCAGCAGGAATCCCACTCTACCCCCGCGTTACCAGTAGGAATCCCACTCTACCCCCGTGTTACCAGTAGGAATCCCACTCCATCCAACGTTATCAGCGGGAATCCCACTCTACCCCCCTGTTACCAGTAGGAATCCCACTCTACCCCCCTGTTACCAGTAGGAATCCCACTCCATCCAACGTTACCAGCGGGAATCCCACTCTACCCCCCTGTTACCAGTAGGAATCCCACTCCATCCAACGTTACCAGCGGGAATCCCACTCTACCCCCCTGTTACCAGTAGGAATCCCACTCCATCCAACGTTACCAGCGGGAATCCCACTCTACCCCCCTGTTACCAGTAGGAATCCCACTCCATCCAACGTTACCAGCGGGAATCCCACTCTACCCCCCTGTTACCAGTAGGAATCCCACTCCATCCAACGTTACCAGCGGGAATCCCACTCTACCCCCCTGTTACCAGTAGGAATCCCACTCCATCCAACGTTACCAGCGGGAATCCCACTCTACCCCCCTGTTACCAGTAGGAATCCCACTCCATCCAACGTTACCAGCGGGAATCCCACTCTACCCCCCTGTTACCAGTAGGAATCCCACTCCATCCAACGTTACCAGCGGGAATCCCACTCTACCCCCCTGTTACCAG